GTGGTGAGAATATTTCTGGTTTCTTGAATTTCTTCTATTTTAAATTAGGGTGGATTTCCTTTACCTGTGGACCCCAACTCCCCCCAAGTGTCATCTTCATTCAGTTGAAGAGAACACGAGAAATCAGGAACAACTGCATGGAAATTTGTTAATTTTGTTCCCTGAACTGGAAGTAATGTTCACTTATATCTACGTTCCCCTGAGTTAAATTACATAGTCATCCACCCATTCATGGAATGCTCAGATTGCAGGCAATGCAAACAAGAGAAAAGAGTGGTTTTGTTTTAAAAAGAAACAGTCTAATCCATATAGAAATTCTCCCCTCCTTAAGTTCTCTAATGTCTGCTATGATGTGATTTCTTTTTTATTTTTATTTATTTTTTGTGCATGGCTGGTATGGAGATCATTTGTTATAAGCACCAATGTTATAAGCAAAAATGCTCTAACCATAGCCAGCCTTGAGACTTTGGAGAAAAGATGTTTTCACACTCATTACAGTCCTCCTTCCATATCCGAGGGTTGCACATCTGGTGATTCAAGAAACTATTTATCAAAAATCTTCAAAAATAAATAAAAACAATAAATGAAACAACTACAACTGAAAAGCAACACACACTAACAATTTACATAGCATTCCCATTTTTTCCAGTATTATAAGTAATCTACACAAGATGTAAAGTACACAGCAGGAAGTGAATTGGTAATACACAAACACTACACCATTTACAGAAGGGACTTGAGCATCAGCAAATTTTTATATCTATAGGGATCCTCAAGACATTCTTCAATACCTGAGAACAACTGTGTATTTATAGGTCTTCTTCTTGATGTAAGTTCTTTGATGTCTTGAGGTATGACTTCTGGCAAAATCTTTTCCCGCACAAATTATATTCACTGAGATTTTCCTTTCTGTGAATTCTTTTTTGTCTGTTAGGGGGAATTCCAGTACAGGACCTGTCACATTAAATTCATCAGGAGTTTTTTCCTGTGTTAGTATCCTGATGTCTTCGCAACTGTGACTTTGTAAAAAAAACTTTTTCCACATTCATTACATTCACATGGCTTCTCACCTGTGTGTATTCTCTGATGCATGCTGAGGTTTGACTTTTGGTTAAAAGCTTTTCCACATTCTTTACATTCATATCGTTTCTCACCTCTGTGAATTCTCTGATGCCTGCTGAGGTGTGACTTTTGGTTAAAAGCTTTTCCACATTCTTTACATTCATATCGTTTCTCACCTCTGTGAATTCTCTGATGCCTGCTGAGGTTTGACTTTCGGTTAAAAGCTTTTCCACATTCTTTACATTCATATCTTTTCTCACCTCTGTGAATTCTCTGATGCCTGCTGAGGTTTGACTTTCGGTTAAAAGCTTTTCCACATTCTTTACATTCGTATGGTTTCTCATCTGTGTGTATTCTCTGATGCATGCTGAGGTTTGACTTTTGGTTAAAAGCTTTTCCACATTCTTTACATTCGTATGGTTTCTCATCTGTGTGAATGCTCTGATGCATGCTGAGGTTTGACTTTTGGTTAAAAGCTTTTCCACATTCTTTACATTCATATGGTTTCTCACCTGTGTGTGTTCTCTGATGCTTGCTGAGGTGTGACTTTAACTTAAAAGCTTTTCCACATTCTTTACATTCATATGGTTTCTCACCTGTGTGAGTTCTCTGATGCTTACGGAGGTGTGACTTTAACTTAAAAGCTTTTCCACATTCTTTACATTCAGACAGTTTCTCACATGTGTGAATTCTTTGATGCCTGCTGAGTTTGGACTTTTGCTTAAAAGCTTTTCCACATTCTTTACATTCATAATGTGTTTTCCCTGTGTGAGTACTCTGATGCATCCTGAAGGATGATTTCTTGTTAAATGTTTTTCTATATCCATTACATTTGTAGGGCTTATCACCTGGGAGAGCTCTCTGATGCATGCTGAAGACTGACATTTGGTTAAAATCTTTTGAACTTTCCTTACATTCATAAGTTGTTTTACTTTTGTGACTTCTCTGATGCCTGTTGAGGGTTGACTTTTGGTTAAAAGCTTTCGTTGCAGATGTTCCCTGATATGAGATAAGGTATGACTGCTTAATAAAAGATTTCTGACATTCACTGTATTTATCATGTTTCTCTCCTGTGTATATAATCTGATGTTGAGTATGTTTAGCCTTTTTATACATTTTCCCACATACATCACCTTGAAAAGTTTTCTTCCTTACCTGAGTTATCTCTTGGGCAATGACAGATGACTTATTACAGGCTTTCCAATGTTCACTGTATTTACAAGTGGTCTCACCCATATAAATTATCTTATATGCAAATATTATTGGCACTGTGTTGCAGGATTGTCCTTTTCCACTATATTCAAAAAGTTGCCCAGCTTGAATCTTAGGATGCTGACTAAGATTCTCATGATAACTCTGTGATTTCTCAGATATATTATACTCATCAGGTTTCTTTCCAGCACACATAGCATCAGTCTCTGGAAGAAGTGCATTCTGATATTCATTAGACTCCTCATGCCCCACTCCTGAATAGTTTTCATTATTTATAACCAGATTTAAAATATGCACTGAATATGCATTCTCCTCAGTTGATTGGTTGCCACTGATGAGTACACCTTGCCACAAGTATCTACCTTGACTTTCTTGACTCCTCTCAATTAGGTCATTGACTTTCTGGACATCTGAAATGAGAAAAAAAAAAAAAAAAACCCACATCCATGAACGACACATAAGCATATTTTATCACATGCTTGTGTAAAGTGAGAGAAGTTTCTCCCAACCCAAGTAATAAAAGATTTTATAAAAATCAATAATGCATATTAGTTTCAGGAGTATATGGGTTTTGTTCATACTGACAATGCTATGTTGTATTAATATATTTTCTGACATTATATGACATTCTTTCTTTGCTTCTTTATTCATTTTGTTGTTAAATCATGATGAAATATCTGATAATTTTTACTTTTCCTAATTGCATATTTCAAATAATTGCTTATCACCTTCCATTTGTTTTTAACTCTACTTTATTTTTTACTCTTTTATTTTTACAGTTTTTACTCTATTTTGTTTTTATAACAATAGTGGTTATCTCCTGCAGCTCTTTTTCTCATTCTTCTGCTTTGAATATGGCCAGGTTTTCCTTCATTGGCTACTTCCAGGTGCAAAATGATCCCAATTTTCATCCATATGGAGGAAAATGACTTAGGTTAAGAACTTTGCATTAGTGTTTCTATACTTTTTACTCTTCCTTAGGAAATGGATATAGGCATGTGGAAGTTTTAGAAATAATAAAATCTTCTTTTACCTACCCTAAACAGAGCCTCCCACAAGTTACTCATTTAACCTGACTTACTGTGCTTCAAAAAACCATTACTCTACAAGAAACTTTAGTCCATCCCTACGGACACCCTGCTGGTCTAAAATACTTGGTTCCACAACCAAGGCTTTGGCCACCATCTTTGGAAAAGGTGCTTTTGACTCCTTATAAAATCAACTGGTATTATGTTCCCAAACTCTGGAAAACACACTCCCACTTGATAATTCATTGCTCATGAAAGCTTTAGTATTATGCACTGGTGTTTTGCATGGCTAGTACACTCATAAAAAATAGAGTCTCCTGTACATTTCTAAGTTTGTTGTTTTAGAATGATTTCTACAAAAGAAGAGGAAAATACTAACTTCAAATTCCACTTCCAAAAAGCAATCTCAGTCCCTCAACTTGAAACCCTTGGTTGACTTGACCTTGATACCATGAGTTTCCTGGTTCTTCTATAAAATTCAGAACTCTCCTTTTCCATGCCCTATGCTCAGTCTGCCTCAGCTCCATAATTTCTGATGTGGTGGTATAAAAGGCTCATACCTGGACCTCTTTTCTTATTTTCTTATCAACTTCCTATGTGATATCCTGCACTACTTTGGGATTCTGCCAAGGATCCCCACCAAAAACAAGGCCCTTACCACATGCAGCCCCAGACCTTGGAATGCTGAGCTGCCAGAACAGAACAGTTTGTATCTTCATAAATTACCCAGTTACAGATATTCTGTTTTAAGTAACACAAAAGAACAGAGTCTGAAAAACCATGTCCATGACAGTGCAGGACGTGAGGGCAACTGAAATATTTGAAAAAGTCAACAGCAAAAATAAATGTCAAAGAAGAGAAATGTGGAGATTATATTTTAGGAAAATACATTGTTGAAAAACAGTAAAATAAAATATGGAGATATATATGTAGGAATCCATCTGAGAGATTATATAATACCTGTGTTTGATGCAAGGCGAGAAGCCAGCATCAGCTCAAGGACCTGTGGAAAAATTGCTAGAAAAAGCTGAACACAGCCAAGATCTGCTGGGTTTTACTCTTCCTGGACTCTGCCCATGATGTGCTTACTAACCTGGGAGGCTCTGGTCTGGGTGTTCTTTTATTATCCAAGGCTCTGCTCCTTTCTCCAACTTGAGGCTCACCTCAGGTTTACTAATCCAGTACCCTGTTAATGGGAAGTAATATAGGACTTTATAAAATTGCAAAGCCTAATCCTTGGAAGAATGACAAGACTTCAGCTCCAGAAATTATACAATAAAGAGACCAATTTGAAACTTTTGTTAAATATGGATGACATATTTTTCATGAAATGTAATTTTACCAAATATTATAAAACCCTATAAAACATTCCTATTTTTATAAAAAAACCAAAATGTTTCTCCTGAAAGTTACTGTGGAGTTGCACTCACCCAATGACACCAGGCTGCTGTAGGTCTCCAGCATGACATCCATGTACAAAGTCCTCTGAGCATCATTCAGGTCCCTCCACTCCTCCCAGGTGAAGTCCACAGCCACATCCTCAAATGACACCAACTCCTGTAATGGCACATTGATCTCAATTCGAGCCACCAGCCCTGGGTCACAAAACAGGAATCTCAGAGATCACAGTTCTGTGAGGATGAGTGTCTTATGGGTTAGATAAGGTGCTGCTTTTCTATTCTCCATATAGTGGAGAGAAAAAAAAAACCAAGCAAGAATATCTTGTCACTTTAATAACATATTAATGACTAAAAATATGAATACAAAGCTTACCATATAGCTGTGAACCATTCTTCTTGCTAATTATAAAAGTATGAATAAAATGCTGCTTCTCCAAGAAGTTTATAATCAGGTTTGAAAACATAAGTATAAATACATACCTGAACCAGTGTGTCAGATTAACAAATTTTGAGAGAAGTTCAATAGAGAATGGGGAAAGAAAGATAAAATATATTTCTATGCTGCACTCTGTTTGCATTCCACTGAAATACCAAAGATGTTAAGCTCTTCCATGTGAACCACATGTTCTCATGACTATGAGGCAACAGTAAAACTGCAGTCACAAGAACAAAGGAAGACACCCCACATTAATGAAACTACACATGGCACCATGTCTAAGTGAATGCCCATGGGTGGTGATACACTATTAAAGAAACACATTATGGAATGCTTCTGCATTTACATATTTTTCTATTTCAAAAAGTGAAACATTATATGTAACTGCTGCTTTTAAATTACTTGTAAATTGAAAGCATATACAAAGGCACTCCAAAATTTCCTTCCCCCATGCCAAAGGATTGCTTGTGTCTGCATGAGAGTGAACACTGCCACTATCTAGACACAGAGTGTAAAGAATGTGGTTTTGTAAATATAAATCAGTTACATACTAGATTTACAATTTAATAGTCATCCACAAGAAGGAGAATGGAAAAAACTTTAGTGAGAATCAGCAGAAGAAAACAGGGTGTTTGAAGACCAGCTGCACTAGAACATAGAGCAAGGTTGGTTAGCTAGTTCACTTCAGAGAGCATACTTCTGTTAACACTAAGGTCACAGGGTCAGATCTCCCTACAGGCCAACCAACAGAAAATCAGTCAATCAATAAATAACAGAGCAGTAAGCATACAGAAGAAGAAAGTAATATAGAAACAAAAAGCAGGAAGACAGGAAGACACTGTGGTACTAAATTCCTGTGTAGAAAATAAGAGTGTTTTACTCTCAGGCTTTCTACATAATTACAGCTAATTACGTACTGGCACAGTAAAGTGTAGCTTTTAGAATGACAGAAAAATATAATGGGCAGAAATAAAATAGACTTGAATATATTATACTTGAAATATCTGTGGGAATGTCCAAATGGCAACTGGATACATGATCCAGAGTTCAAAAGAGATCTAAGCTGAAGATAAAGATCTGGAAATGCATCAGTCCATTTCTGTTGCCTGTAACAAAATACCTGGAATGGGGTGATTTGTTAGAAAATGAAATTTACTGCTTGCAGATTCAAAAGCTGGGGAGTCAAAAGTCAAGGGAACACATCTGGTGGAGACCTTGGTGGAGATGACAGTGACCCAGCGGTCTCACATGGCAGAAAATGGTAGGGCAAAGAGAGGTCAACCCCTCATGTTTTCTTTTAAAGCCCTCAGAACCACATCCCTGCCCACCATTATTAACCCATTCATTAAGGTATGGTCCTACCCTCTAATCACATCATTAAGGCCCCATCTTTCAATTACCAAATTAGGATTACCCACCATCCTAACTGTCACAGAGAGGGTCAAGTTTGGGGACATTCAGTCCAAGGCATGGAAATATCAAAATTTCAATGTTATGTGAAGCCATCAGAATGAATGAGCAAACCTAAGAGCTTCCAAGTAAAAACAAAACAAAACAAAAGAACAAGGACAGTCAGCAGAAGCACTTTATCTTTAAACATAAGATAGAGGAAAAGAAATACAATGTGAAAAACAAAAACAAATTTTCTGAATTTATTCCACAATTAAAGGAAAGCTCAGTATTAAAAAGTCTACCAATATAATTCATTATATGAATACATAATTCATTATACATACATATATATATACACACACATATTTGCATTTGGTCTGTTTGGAAATCCAACATATTTGAAGTCCTATGAGTGAAAATCCTTTAAATAATTATATAGATGTTAGAAAAATACACAGGGGGCAAGCCAGTATAGGGATCAATCTGTGGTCCTTGATAGTATTGGCACCACACTCTCACCAAGTGAACATAGCTGACCGAACATAGTGGAGAAAAGAAACCTCTCAGTTTAAGGATAGATCAAAGAAATTAAAAACTGAATTGCATACACACACAGGAAAAAGACAAAAGGAACAGGACATAATATCTGAAGAGTGTTTGACAATGTCAAAAGTAGTAATATAAAGTAATGATAAAGGGCCGGCCCGGTGGCGCACTGCTACAGTGCGCCGCTTGGGAAGCGTGGCGGCGCTCC